ATACAGCTTAAAGACGAAATTTGAAAGGTGATTTCTTATTTAACTCTGGAGGATGTCCTCTTCCGCACGCTTCTATGGTAAAGGAGTTAGCAATCATGTGCGGAGCAGACCAGAGAATAGTAGGAAAAGACTGCATATTTTTGCCAATAAGATGTGAACACGACATCTTCCAATAGACTAATAGTCAACTTATTAAATAATGGAATTGTGAATTGTATTTACTGTAGCACCGTAAGTTCCGCCGACTAACAGCATGGCCATTGTGCTCAGTATTTATGTTTTACATGTGACTTTTAATTTGACCCGTAATATAAAACTATTTAAAAAAAATATTAATTATTAAATAATTAATAATTTTTTTAATTAATATTATGTTAAAATCATTAAATCATAGAATTATTGATTCTAAAAGATATTTTTAATTTTGTATTAAAAAACTGATAAATAAATAATCAAGTTATAATTAAGTTTATAAGATTATATTTTAATTAATTTTCTACTTTTTGGACATATATCAATTGATGTAATTATATTAAATATATTTACTAAAAATTATAATGTAGTTTGAGTAAATCAATATTATTTACCTGCAATTTATTTTTTATGTACTTCATGGAGCTATGACTTTTTAAGAAAATTTTCATGAATTAACACTTTTTTTTTATTAAATTAGTTAAAAATAATATTCATAATAAAATAATTATTTACTAATTTAAGTAAATTATAACAATAATTTAGATACATTTAATAAATATCTTGGTCTTAATTTTTATTTTAGTACACGTCAATAATGAAACAATAAATCGAATGTGGTGATAATAATTATCATTAGAATCTCTGATAGTTATAACTCAAAGCACTTATTGGTGTTGCGCACAACCTTCGCCATTGGAACAATTTCAATCAGATCGGCCTACCATCTCCTTCATCGCTTGTTGAAACTTCTGTTTGGAATCCACCAGAGAAAACACCATTAAAGTGATCCCCTAGGTGTAAGAAATAGTTGATAGAATTTTTGTATTTAAACACTGCAAGTATCAGCAATGAAGGAGTTCAATTTGCATTTAAAATTTGTGGTTTTTCTTGCTCAAAATAGAACACATGTCTCGATTAAGTTGCTTCTCATCGGGACCTATCACCAGCCTTCATGCGCTGATATCAAGATAGATCACATTGGATCCCCCAATTTGGGCTTGAAACAGAGAGAAAAATGAGAATTGGTTTTCTGCAGGCCCATTTTGAGACACTAGGCCCAACCCTTTTTGTAAAGTTAAATATTCTCTACCACTCGCCAAAATTATTTTCTATGATTTAAACATTCTTTTGTCATTCTATATTTTTTTTGTGAAATTTATTTTTCATTCTACGTTTTTTTAAATGTTAAAAATAGCCAAAATCCTCTATAAAAAGATTAAAATTTATCTCTTGTAAAATTATATGTGAGAGTAGAATAATATATTCCAAATTCCATTAGTTTTGACATCAGATAATTATTTAATTTCATTTTAAAATCTATAAGAAGTCAATAATATTTAATGGTTTTTGCATCCTTTTTCCTAATTAAATTAGAAATGTATTGCCAAAAAAATTATACAAAGTTTTATGATTCCAATCGTAGCCTTAGATTCTGGATATGAAGGCTGTCCATCTCGCCGTACTGTACATCTAGGCAAAAATGAGTCATAAAAGAATTGTCACTCCCTTGAGACCCATACGTGATAACCTAATCATCCTCGCCGTTGTGAGATCATTCAAGTAAGTCCATTCCATGTAATCTAAGTCCCACCCATTATACATCAAGTACATATACATATATACATATATACGAATTTTTCGGTTTGTCATCTGGAAGGTCGGAAGGATCCAACATTCGGACAGAGCAAGACTTGCCGACACCTCCAAATACTGGAAGAATAAAAATATTTTCATTATGGGTTGTATAAATATGCATAATGACATTTAAATTCAGAATTTCATGGCACCAAAATGCCAACAGAGGAATCATATATGACACCTGTATACATTTAAAGCCGATTGCTTACGGCTGACGGATGACTGGGCATCTCATATATAAGACCCTGGCCAGCAGAAAAATTGGTATTTTACCCCAACAGCTTGAGTCTATAATTCGACCACCATGACCTCATGCACAAATTAAGTATTTAAACATCGCCATGATCTGCCAAGATGGTTTCCAACAATGATTGGCAAGCATCTTCAAGTAAGTCCAAAACCTGCCCAGAAAGCACCATTCCGCATATCAATTAAAACGTATGATCTGGTCACATCAGTTTATAAATATAGTAGCTGTAAGTTACAACACTCCAAGATTCCACGTAACTCAAACAAAAAATCAGCAACTTGACATCTGCCTCATCTCAAATTTTGAGTTATCTAATGAAGGCTTGTTCAATATTCACAGACCAGAAAACAATAAACTGAAGTAATTGCTGCGAAGTGAGAGAATCAAAGACTGTTGAACACAAACTGCACTAATAAAGAGATATAGGATAATGTAATCCTAGACACGCATGGAGAAGAGTCCCATCCTAGAAGAAATTCTCTCTAATGAGAGTTTCTCTCAAGCCATCCCCTCTTGGTGCAGTGCGGCAATATGAATCCTAAATTAAATTAGGATTTGCTGCAAGGGAGCTTTAAGAAGACTGGAACTCTTTATTCTAGAGTCCTAATTGAATTTCTTATTCATAAATCAATATTTTAAAGAGTTGGAACCAAAGAAAAGATCAAACGAAAGGAGTCCTTATCCTAACCCAAAATCTTCCTTGATTTTCTCACGGAAGAAAGTTTGTTTTTTACTTCAAGTTAGAAACTTTTTAAAACATCTTCAACACAACTTCTTCATAAAAAATTAATTAATTATTGAAATCCAAATTCAATTAAAATAAAGAGGAAGAATTCGGGGACAACAAGGAATCTTATTCAAGAGAGAAGAATTTTATTTCTTTTATATTTACGCGTTTTTAATTTGTTTTTTTAATTAGAATCGTAAATAAAAATGTATTCAGAATTCTCCTATAATTTAGTTTTTGATTTGTACTCGAATTAGTTAAGTTTATAGCTATATAAAGATTTTATTCCTTTGATTGTAAAAACATCATTCAAATTAATAAAGTTTCAAGTTTTTTTTACAAGCAATTGCTTTCGGCTTTTGTGAGGCTCTTTGGGATATTTCTTCAACCGTCTTGTTGAGTCAAGAACTGATTCTACTTATCGAGATAATCTCGTGACATCTTATCAATTCTCAATTATCTTAATTTGCAATCATAAATTAATTGTAAATTAAGTAAAGATGATTTATTTAGATATTTAAATTTTTGTGCTAAATTATATGTTGAGGTTTTTAATTACATTGGTTGATCATGGGTTTCGCATAATTTGATATCAGAGTTTATGCACTAAATAGATCTTACTATCTTGCATAATCTATCATTGCATATTTATTATTTTTCATGGTAGAAAAAAAAAGGCATACCTTGTATCTGTTTGTACTCATCAGACAATCAAAAACAAAAATAAAAAAGATATATATCACATTCATAGTGTCTTTTCTTGCACTGTAAGTTTCCTTTTTTCATTGCACTTGTGCTCCATGACATCCTAGTTACTTATCCTCATATATAAACACATTATTTTCATCTGTGTATTTAAGCTCGGCTTCTAGAATTGTGTTGCAAATTTTTTTCCCTAAGGTTCCTTGCAATGTTTTAAGACAAAACTTGAATATCTTAATTAAAGAGGAGTCGATTCTAACATTCAACTCGAATAAAGAAGATTACGAGGTGAGAGAAATATGAGAGATCTACGAGAGTGTTATTTTCTACTAACCTTTTCTTACAAGGATTTTTTAATGTCTCAACCAAGTGAAAATAAGAGTCCAACAGACCTAAGGGAGTATTTAGGCACCATGTTTACATGACTCAGTCTGGTGATTAAAAGTCTAGAAGCAAAGATTGATGGAATGAGGCAAAGAAACAATAGCCCACTCCAGATAAGGCGCCTACTTCCACAAGATGATGCCGAATCTTGTGATGAGAATGAAAGAGATGTTGATCGAGATTACTGGAGGGAGGACTTGACAGATAGCAACTCTATCAAAATAGAGATTCTCTCTTTCAATTGACAGAATGATACTAAAACCTACCTAGAGTGGGAATGGAAAGTAGAACTCATCTTCGACTGTCATAACTATAGTGAAGAAAAGAAGGTAAAGCTAGCCGTCGTAGTTTTTACCGCCTATGCTCTAGTGTGGTGTGTTCAAGTGCTAACTAACAGAAGGTATACCAAAAACCGATCTGTCTCAACATGGAGGGATATCAAATCCATTATAAGAAAGATATTTGTACCTTCTTACTATCGCATAGAGATGTACCAGAAACTTAGGGATCCATGTTCGTGGATGACTACTACACCTATAAAAAGTTTTATTCCTTTGGTTGTAAAAACATCATTCATATCAATAAAGTTTCAAGTTCTTTTTATAAACAATTGCTTTCGGCTTTTGTGAGGCTCTTTGGGAGATTTCTCATACCGTTCTATTTAGCTAGGAATTGATTTTATTTATAGAGATAATCTCATGACGTCTAATCAATTCTATTTCTTGTTTCCTAATTATCTTAGTTTGCAATCATATGTTGATTATGAGTTAAGTGTAGATGATTCATTTAGGGATTTAACTTTTTGTACTAAATTATATGTTGGGGTTTCTGATCACATATAAAAGGATACCAAGTGTTACCAATGAAAATGACATGCTTATTGACAAATTAAAGGTTGATGCACGTACAGCACATGAAGGCTACATCTTTAGGACACAATGGGGATTACATTCCTAGGATAAGGTAACTGGTGGTTCATTTTTTATGGATCTACTAGCTTGGGCCTAAGATTTCCTATTTGGAAGGAGATCACTTACATCTGTGGCATTTGTTTTCCTTTATGATGTCTTGAGGTGACCTCAATATAGAAATTCCATAGAGAAGCTAGGGGGGCATGACGTAGTGGGAGTACTTGGGGCACCTAAACTCAGTTTGTTTCGGTGTTTTTTTATTACATCCTCACTAAAAGTAAAATGCAAGTGTTAGAACTCAGGCCGCCTAAGGTCAGTTTCTTTCCTTACTAAGCAGTCACTGTTTGTTCCCAAGGAAATCAAAGCACCTTTTTGGCCAGACTCAAGTTTACTGCTCGGGCAACAAAATTTCATGTCAAAAGGGGTAGTAGATTACTTCAAAAATTTTGGTTATGCTACAATGGTCAAAACCAATTATTATTAAGGGACTATGCAAACATTTGGTGTTAATAGGCTACTATAGAATCATCACTGCCCCCTTAACTTCCATGATATGTAAGAATTCCTTCATTTAGACTCCCAAAGCTTTTGAGGCCTTCGAACACCTCAAAAAGGCCTGGACTACAACACCAGTGGTAGCACTCCCTGATTTTTCTCAAAAATTGGTCATAGAATGTGATGCATCAGACTAAGGGATTGGAGCAATCCTTCAACAAGCTGGGAAGCTCATAGCCTTCTTTAGTAGGTTCTTGGACACCTACCACCACAAGCTATCAGCATATGACAAAGAACAAGTTGGTTTGTCCAAGCTGTGCGGCATTGGAGGCCTTGCCTACAAGGAAGGTCTTTTCTGGTAAATACTGACCATTACAACCTTCAATTCTACTGGAGTCAAGCTGATGGAATTTGATTTTGAAGTTGAAAATCAAGCATGAAGACAGAATGTGGTGGCAGATGTCCCCTCCAGACAATTTGAAGACATTGGCACCTCGGAGGCAATTTTCATGCCTCGTTTGGAGATATTCAATGCCAGTCGGGAAGAAATCACTAGCTCTCCCACTTTACAAAAGTTAGTTAAACATGTTCAAGAGGATAAAGTTGGTGATCCCAAGACCTTCCAATATGGTCTCTTATTATAGGAGGAAAGAGTGCTTCTCCTACAAATGTCATCTCAGGTGCCTGTTATCTTATCTGCCTTCCATAATCAAGGACAAAAAGGTACTAAAAGATATTTCCAAAAATTGCTGGTGATTTATTGGGAGAACCATTAGCAACAAGTCCAGGATTTTGTCAAGTGTTGCCCAACTTGCTAATGCGAAAAAGTGTAACAATTGGAACCTGCAGGCCTCCTACTATCACTAGCCATCAGTGAAAAAATATAGCCCACATCTCCTTGGACATTGTGCAAGGTCTCCTGAACTCAAATGGCAAAAAAGTTTTCCTTCCATTGGTCAATCTCTTCTCAGAATATGCCCTCTTTTTTACCATTGTCTCACCCTTACGTTGTAAATGCGACATGGTCGTTCTTTCATACCATCTTTAAGCTACATAAGTTTACCCAACCAATAGGTAGTGAAGGCCATGTCACCTTCACAAGTGATTTCTGGAAAAACTTTTTTATTTATCGAGCATCAAGTTGGTTTAGTTCAGCCTACCATCCCCAATCAGGGCCATATTTGAGCTTGTTAATCGCACAATCTAGATATATCAAAGGTGTTTTACAAGTGATAAGCCAAAATGTTGGATGGATTGACTATCTTGGGCTGACTACTTGTCAAAGGTATTAGCTGGCCACTTAAAGTCAGAAGATTTCACAATTAAATTTAAAAGATTTTACACTAAGTCAGCAGATTTCACAATTAAAGCAACAGATTTCACACTTAAAGTCAGCAGATTCCACACTTAAAATCAGCAGGTTTTATACTTAAATTAACAGATTTTATACTTTGTACAGCCTTGACAAGTATCTCATATCTTTGTAAATCTTTTTTTCACTTCTTAATTAGGATATACTAGCTATAGAACAAATCTATTTAATATATTTTGGCTAATTTTAGGGCTGAAAATCAGATTGTATTTTTCATATATAAATATATATCACGGGAATTCTCCACTGAGAGAACATACTTTTCTACCTAAAATTCTCTAAGTCTTACATGGTATTAGAGCTAGTTTCAGCTCAATCCTAGTTCAGCCCTTTGTTCTTAGTTATCCTTGATCAAGTTATCTTACCTCATGTCTTCAGACAAGTATAATGCCTTCCTGACTTGTCTTAATGGCAAAAACTACTCAACCTAAGGATTCCATTTCAAGATCCTTGTCAAAGGTAAGGACCTACAGGGTCATATAAATGGCAAAAATCCTTTTCCTGACAAAAACAAGGATAAGGATGGTCACACAAATTTAGAGGCCAAGGATGCCCAAATC